TTTCAATTGAACTCAAGTTTGGTTAGGAAGTCGTTTATTTGTACAAGAATTCATAACGTGGACAACACGAACATTCATTCATTTGGCAGGGGAGAAACTATGCAAGAGAATCGTGATTTATAAGATGAGCTTGAATAGTTTTCTTCTTTCTTATTACTTTTTGTTCTTTGAAATTTATATTTATATTTTAATTTTCAATGCAAAGTTAATTCAATCTTATAAAAATGAGCACTTGAGCACTTGCCATATGTGTTTCTCAAAGCTACGTCTAAAATCTACCACTTTTATTTTTTGTTCTCACACCCAAACAAAATATGAAGCAAAGCTGTCTACCCTAATCTATCATCTATATGTTTAGTAGGAAAAGAAGGCATAGAGGCATAGATTTGTGATAAGTCCAAACAAAATAGGCACATGCTTATGAGTTAGGCTGGTGTTAGGTCTTATGAGTAGCCCGTGTTACTCTCAAATATCATGGTATGAAAAAGCGTAATTGACAATAATGTTATTTGAATTATTATAAGGAATATGAGGATGTCAAAGATACTCGTTAATCAAGTGCACAAAATACTTTAAATAGAGGGAAAGAGATGAGAAGTATCCAACATTTTAGGCAAAAAAAACACCAAAAACATGATGTTGAGTGTGAAATGCATAGAGGCATAGAGTTGTGATAAGTCCAAACAAAATAGGCACATGCTTATGAGTTAGGCCGGTGTTAGGTCTTATGAGTAGCCCGTGTTACTCTCAAATATCATGATATGAAAAAACGTAATTGACAATAATGTTATTTGAATTATTATAAGGAATATGAGGATATCAAAGATACTCGTTAATTAAGTGCACAAAATACTTTAAATAGAGGGAAAGAGATGAGAAGTATCCAACATTTTAGCCAAAAAAAACACCAAAAACATGATGTTGAGTGTGAAATCGTAGAAGTAAAATACTGGGACGGTGTGGTACGAAAAGATAACTAAATAGTAAAATGTGAAGCATGAAATTCTCATGGGCAGCTTTTTATGAAATTCCCTCGTTCCTTCCTAGGGCTTGTTTTTCTTCCCAATGGGCTTGTTATTGGAAATAGGCTATTGTTTAATGACACGTGTGATGTGACATTAGCCTTCAATGATATATGACATAAGCAAAAAGCCCACCGATCAAATTCCCATAACCATGAGAGCCAGTAGCAAGCAATTGAGTGGAGAAATTCTTACATTCCAATTTGAACAGAAGCCCACTGACCATTTGGTCATATATTTAGGTGAAGACCAAGCCTTCAAATCTCTCCCTCGTCATCGCCACCGGTTGTTAAAAACTCTGAGTCCATGTTCAAGGTCAAGGCTTTGAGAGAGAAGAACAAACTATAAAATAATGGAGCTTTGAGAAACACTGAGAACAAAAATAGTCGTGTCGTCGTTCTTGAAGGAGGAAAGAAAATTGTTATCTCATTTTTAAATCCTAGATATTTTCCTTCATCCCTCTTCTTTTGTTTGCTTCACCTTCACATATTCTCTCTCTCTAAAAACCTGAGAGAGACTCAGAACTAAAACCCTGGTGTTTCTGCTCCATCTGGGTCTCCAATGGCGGCGAGTTGGGTTCTCTCAGAATGTGGCTTAAGGCCTCTCCCTCAAAATTTTCATAGACCCACAGCCGGATTTTCCTCTAACCACCCAGCAAAAGTTCGAGTTTTTCGGTCGAACAAGAGCGTGACAGATCTAAGATTGGCTTCGGCCAAAATTTCGAGTGCGTGCTTTAGAGGGAGAAGCTGGGGTCTGAAAGTGAGTGCTCCATTAAGAGTTGCTTCTATTGAAGACGAGAAAGAGAGAGTCAATGGTGTTAATGGCGTTGGAGATGAAGAAGAGCTGGAATTTGATCCAGGTGCACCACCACCGTTCAAATTGGCTGACATTAAAGCAGCCATTCCGAAGCATTGTTGGGTTAAGGACCCGTGGAGGTCAATGAGCTATGTGGTAAGGGATGTGCTGGTGGTTTTTGGATTGGCTGCAGCGGCGGTTTATATAAACAAGTGGTTCGTTTGGCCTCTGTATTGGGCTGCTCAGGGGACAATGTTTTGGGCTCTCTTTGTTCTTGGACATGATTGGTAATCACTTCTCAGTTCCTTCTCATATATTTTGTGTTCTTGGTGTGTGATTTAAATATCAGTTTGTGTTTTGTGGTATGAATTGTTCGTCTGGTGTTTGATTATGTAGTGGCCATGGAAGCTTTTCAAACAATCCCAAGCTAAACAGTGTGGTGGGGCATCTCTTGCATTCTTCAATTCTTGTACCCTATCATGGATGGTATGTTCCTGAAGATAGATTGATATAATATGATGCACTGTAAATATGAACAATGGTTTCTTGTGTTCTGATTCTTCCTATCTATTGGAAAAATTAGATAATATGCACTAAAATGATGGCTTGATTGAATGTTACAGGAGAATTAGCCACAGGACTCATCATCAAAACCATGGCCATGTTGAGAATGATGAATCATGGCATCCGGTTAGTCTTTTTTTCCTCTGTTGTATGGATTCTCTGTTCTACTTTTGCTTGGGGCATCCTGGGTTTCTCTATTTGTTAGAGGATGATAAATTTCTATGCTTGCAGTTATCTGAGAGAATTTACAAGAAATTGGATAACATGACACGGATTTTGCGGTTCACCGTGCCTTTTCCCATGCTTGCATACCCTTTCTACCTTGTAAGTCTGTAGTGAATTGATTGATACCACATAATTTACGAAAATAGTAGCTGATTGTTATTGGTTTCCTATAGTGGAATAGAAGTCCAGGGAAGACTGGTTCTCACTTTCACCCAAACAGCGACCTGTTTGTCCCCAATGAGAGGAAAGATGTGATCACTTCCACCTTGTGTTGGACAGCAATGGCTGCTTTGCTTGTGGGGTTGTCCTTTGTAATGGGTCCTATTCAATTGCTTAAGCTCTATGGCATTCCCTACTGGGTAAATTCTACATCTTTAATCTTCTTATGATTCTACACAAGAATTGGGATAGGCTTTTCTGCAGCAATCAAGGAATTCCAAATTTGACTGCTTTCTTTTTAATTTTAGGTGTTTGTCATGTGGCTGGATTTGGTAACTTACTTGCATCACCATGGCCATGAAGACAAATTACCATGGTATAGAGGAAAGGTACGTGGCTTTTCAATTCATGATAGGCAACATGCTAAGATACCACAACAGAGAAAAGTCCTTGCGTAGCTCTATCTTATCTTGTCTGGTTTAAATCTGTGACAAAAGTTGGTGCAATATGTTAAAACTTTCTTCATCAAAACTTGGACAGGAGTGGAGTTATCTGAGGGGAGGGCTTACCACACTTGATCGCGACTACGGATTGATCAATAACATCCACCATGACATAGGCACCCATGTGGTTCATCATCTTTTCCCTCAAATCCCCCACTACCATTTAGTTGAAGCAGTAAGTACCAAAATTTCATTTTAAGTAGAATTAGTACACTCATATGATTGAAAACAAGCCTGCTCTTAAGTCCGAACACCTGCAATGTCTTAATGTTTTAATGTGTTTTTGTTCTTGAACTTGCAGACTGAAGCAGCTAAGCCAGTATTTGGGAAATATTACAGAGAGCCAAAGAAATCAGGGCCTCTACCGTTTCACCTGCTTGGGAGTTTTATTAGAAGCTTGAAGAAAGACCACTATGTCAGTGACAATGGGGATGTTGTGTACTACCAAACTGACCCTGATTTTGGTGGCTTTCCAAAATCAAAGTAAAAGCTTCAATTCTTTAGTTTAGATGACCACAAAGACAACCTTTCAGATCTCTTTGCATTGAGGGCGTGCCACTGATTTGGGACTCTTGTGAAAGGAATGTCTCAAGAGAATGATGAAAAAAGGGTGGTGCCATAGTTGAAAAAAAAAATTACTGTATTTTATTCTTTATGGAGAGGAAAAAAAATCTCTTCAGACTGTATAACCCCATTTTAAATTGAAGAAAAATGAGGGAAAATAATAGGGAACAAGTAACCATCTTCCACTTTTGATTGAAATTAGTGGATTCAGTGGGACATTATGGATTTTATTCTTCTTAGTGATAATGGGCCACTTATTATCTTATGATTTCTCGAAATTTTGTTCATGATTACTTCTCATGGGTGCCTTTTGGACCACGTATTTTCTTATGATATCTGAGGACACGTTCAAACTTTCGTCCAATTGCATGACAAAATATGTACATCTTGATGTGGAAGGGTATTTTGAAAAGAATGTGACAGAATTTATAACATGTTCTTCAATTACTGCAAAAAGTCACTTTGTCCCTTTAGTTTGTCGGACTTTTCACTTTAGTTTATGTAGTTTTAATTGTGGCAATTTGACTCATATAGTTTGATATCCCTCGTTCCTCGCAATTGAGGGACACGTTCAAACTTTCGTCCAATTGCATGACAAAATATGTACATCTTGATGTGGAAGGGTATTTTGAAAAGAATGTGACAGAATTTATAACATGTTCTTCAATTACGAGGAATCTAAAAATTACATGAATAAAATTAAAAGAATTGAAACTATGATGACTCAAAATGGTAAAACCGGCAACCTACATAGACTAGACTTCCAAATGTAGCCATATCAGTCTCACATCAGCTCAGCCAAACTTCCAATTCTAAGCCAATGTTGCCGCCACAACAGGCCCATGTTAAACTAAGGAACCCAACTGAGCCAATAAGCTCCAAAATCAAAAGAGTCAGCAAAGTCGGTGGATTGGAATTTCTAAATCCGTACGAAGACCATGGTGGTGGCTAAGAAATTAGAATGGAGGACCAACAAAAGGTCAAGAACTTCGGCATCTCATCTGGTAGAAGAAAAGCAGAAGGGGGAAACCCCAAAAATGGCAAAAGCAAAGAAAGATCATAGAACCCAGATGCGACCCACGCGTTTTTTACACTCTCAACAAAAGTCTTTCAACTCCTCTTGTTTAATTCTTCATGCTTGCCAGTTGCTATCAATGGCACGTATTTAAACCCGATAAATAAATTTAATGAATAAACTGCATGGCTGACAACACGTTGATAGGCCAATTTGGTGCCAAGAAAGATAAAATTACTTCATTTTTATACGCGACAAATGTGCGCGTCAGTGTTTCCACCTTTTTTATGTCCATCTTTTCTAGTTTCTAATGTGAACTCAACGACCCAAGTCTTCCTTGATAAGCCAATAACAACATCGCCATTAATTCAAATCATAAAACAAAGCCCTCTCTTCTTTGATAAACTTCTCTGCTCTGTCGCTTGATTTGGTGTGTGTGTTTTTCAAATTACAACCATGAGTGGTAGTGGGAGAAGTTCAAGTTCAGTGAACCAGAGCTCTGGCTGCTTCAATGGCGTCTTGCGCAGGCTTCTGTGCTCTGGAAGCGTTCCTACTCACCCAACAGATCAAATTGCAGAATCTTATACAACCCAACTCACTCTGCTCACAGAAAAACCAAACCCTGATCTCAAAATCCAATCTTCAGCTTCTTCTGTCACGCCTGGCATAGTGGCAAGGCTGATGGGTTTAGACTCTTTGCCAAAAACAAATTGGGTTTCGAAAGGAAGAGCTCCAGATTTGGTTAGCCGAAGTAGGTCAGTGAGTTTTGCTGATTACTTGATGGATTTTGATTTGGCTGATCAGGATCTTCAGCATCATCATCGCCGGGTTCGAACCTCAGTCTCTTTCCGGGAAGTCCCGGCGGCTCTGAATCATCAGAAAAGTCCTGATTTTCTTCTTGTGTACTTGGACAATGTGGATAAATCAAAGGAGATTGGGTCGAAGTCGAAGGTGAAGAAATCTGAGATGGGTTTTGGAGAACTGAAGCAGGGAAGGAAAGAACAGAGAAGTAGGAACAAGGAGAACAGTAAAAGAGAGAGTGATGAGATTATGAAGCAGAAGAAGAAGGAGAAAATGGTAGCGATAAAACAAAACAAGAAGATTTCTAAGTTGAAGGATGAGCCTAGACGAGAATGTGGCGCACAATCTTCAAAATCAAAGGGTTTGGGGTACTCTGTTTCTCCCAATAAGAAGACCAGTTACAAGAATGGTGGTGCTGCGAATTTTAAGGAAAGTAGCGATCGTCATCAGCTGAAGAAGACAACCCAGAAGAAGAAAGCCGTGGAGGAACCAAGAATCAAGAAGACAAACCATCAACATGCATTTGCCAAGGAAAAAGAGGCTGCTGGTTTTCATGGCTCAGAGAACACAAGCCCTGTTTCTGTTCTTGACATTGATGAGATGTTGATCCAACATGAAGCTTGGCTATCAGGTTTGTTCTGTTTTCTTCACTAATTTACTTTAGCACATTGTGTGACCAAATTAATTCTAACTTCATTTGTTTGGGTTGATGTTTATAGGATATTCAATGCCTATGGATTTGAACTCCAACATGAAATCTTCACCAAAAGCTCCTTACATTGCCGACCCTGAAGTCAGAACAGCCAGAAGAAAAGATTTTGAGCCAATTAAAGACGAAGACACCAGAGATTACGCAGAGCTGCTGGCTTCCAAAATCCAAAGGTGGACAGAGGAGGATTTGAAAGAGTCAAATTGGGTAACTAAGAATGTGGCTGGGTTCGAAGGTTATGAAGAAATCTGCGTGGAGTTTGAAGGGCTGATCCTTGACATTCTACTGCACCAGGCCATTGATGAGTTCGTGCAGATTTCTCATGAAAATCTGTGGCCTTGCAGTGCTTGAAGAATGAAAGAAGAATTTGTTTTGAGATTCTGTATATACCCTTCAAAGTTTCTCTCTCTGTAACTTTGAAACCCTGACCTAGTTTAAAAACTTTTCCATTTTGGTGTGAAAGGATCTCAAGACCTTTTAGATTATAATTGAGAGACTGTCCCTGCAACTAGCAGCAATGAAATGAATTGGAAAATGCGCTTGCTTACACCCCATTCCCGTTACATGTAAGTTTTTCTCTCATCCCCTGCCCTCTTGAAAAAAAATGGCAGGTTTTGTAGTTTTTTTTTCCCATCAAAATCTAATCCAATGTCACTTCGATCCAATTTTAATTGTTTTCTGTCATTTATTCTCGTAGATTGATTTTGAATAAAACATAGTTTTGAAATTTGAACCCTTTTCATACCTATCAATGAACACCATCCCAGACAAGTTGGTAGGTGGAGTGTTAATTTCTACAACATGTCAACATCTACACTAGTAAGTAAGCATATCAAACTATTATGAACAATCCACTGTTGAAAATAACAACTTTAATTCTTTTGTGGAAATTTTAATGACTTACTTACGTTCAAGTCAACAACACTAGAGATGCCTTAGCCGTCTTCCATGTGAATGACTTCTACATTCATGGCCGATTAAATCATGAGACGAGAAAAGCCATCACCCCATCAAAATCATCACTCATTGTGAGGTGAAGGTGTTGGGTAAGGAGGTCGGACCACATCATTGTTCTTACAAATAAGTGTGACACCTGTATTAGGGTTGGGATAATCGTGGAACCCTAACGCAAAGGATTCGCTTGTTTGTGAAAGCGATCCGACGGGTAACAGGGTCGGACCACATCACGCATACAATCGTTCTTACAAATAAATGTGGTCCTCCTACGGGTAACGGGTCCGACCGTCTTACCAAGACTTTTTCCATGTAGACACGACGAGCCTCTCTCCGCGAGTGTTCGACGAAATTGACACCATGCAATGCATACCAAGTGCTCCATGGTATGGATCTCAATGTTAATTCGTCTTGGATCTCTATCTTATAGAACAGTGTGTTTCCAATTTCCAAGAAGATCTATAACGGAGCCACGAATATAATGGAAACGAAAACAAACCCAGAAAAATAACGTTCACTGAAATTCAACAACCCTTTCTCAAAATGCAGATGGCATTGGAACTTGAAATTCACTAAAAGGGTAAACTTCATCGTTTGATTGTTTGGGATCGGATGCGATCATGCGATCAGTAAATGAACATTAGAAATTTTAACAATTATTTGGTGTTGAAAGATGAGCTTTACAATTATTGTTACATGTTTGTATATATGCATATTTGGCCCAATTAATTCTGGTCCTCCAACAAGTTGGGTTGATCATCTTCAACCAGACCATAAACCAAAGGAAAAATCAGTCTCGTTGCTAAAACCCCACTGTGAGCTATGACCTGTGATTGAAGAACAGTTGGGTGTTCTAAGCAGTCCATTTTCATTGTGGAGATTGGTTGTGGTGAAATTTACTTTTTCCCCACTAAGTCCATCAAAGGTCACAAATTTATCATTTTCACCAGCATTTGTACCACAAAACGACTGTGGAGAAGGACTTGGCCTGTAGAAACTAATTGCAGGCCTCTGCTGCTGCTGCTGAAGCTGAGATTGCTGCTGTTTATAATCACTACTTTGTTTTTGCCACAAAGTTTGCATCATGGAATGAGCGGGGTAAATGGTAACTGGGTTTTTTACCCCAACGCTGAGAGCAGCAGTAGAAATTGATTTACTTGGTCTAAGAGAACTCAGAGAAGGCACAAATGGAGCAACAGTAGGAGCCCTTTTTTCCTCTTCCTTGTGAGCATAAGAGCAATCTTGTCTTTTGCAAGTGGTCATGTACCAACAGTATCTGGTCCAGAACAGCATGGGATGAAACCTCTCCTCCAAAATCTCATGTGAATGGCCACAGGCAAGGGACACAACTGTACTTGTGCCTCAACAAATCCCTTATTCTTCCCAATTCCCCATCATGCAGAAAAGGGCATGGCTTTTTCGGGTAGTAGCAGATGCTTCTTTGGCAAGTTTTAACCTTATATACATACATAAGGAATTGGGGTGTTCTGTGTAACCAACCATGGAGGTGGGTGAAAGAGAGATCTGCATAATCATCTGATATTGGCACAGCTTCCTCTTTCAGGCTTTGCATTTTGTTCTGATTTTAATTATGAAAATTCCCTTCAAGCAGCAATGTATTTTTCCATCTAACAGCAGCAAAGCCAACAGATGAACCAGACAGAGTTAGATGAAGTGCAAAAGTTCATCTTTTTCCAAGTTTCCCAGAGGTCAAAGACAGTGAGGCAATGCCTAAAACAAGCTAATTCTGAGTATTGCCAACTAATCAATCTGGTTTGGGTAGTGAAAGGAGAAGTTCAGAAGCTATAGAAATCTACCATTTTCCTTGATCTACATCCAATCAATATTTTGAATGGTGCTAATTCTTTTTATTAATTTTTATGATTTTTGTTTTGTTTTTAGAGTCTTGAAGCATAAAAGGGCTAGGCCATAAGGTTTCTATAAACTGAAGTGCTTTTGATCTATTTATAGGTCTTGAGTGTCTCCTCAAAGTATTAGACCCTTTCAATCTCCCATTGATTTTACAATTGCCCAGAAAAAAAATAAAAATAAACAACCTTTCAATGCAGTAGTTACATCTATATAGATCTTTTCAATTCTTTAATATTTTCCCACTTATATTTCTTACCCCTAAGCCTATCTCACAAGATATATTTAATTATTGGTAGTTACTTTTTCCTTCTCTGCCTGGGTTGAAATGCACAAATCACAATCATTCTGCAAGGAAGAGAGGTCATAGGCCAAGAAACCTTTGCTGTCACTTTTTGTCTTTAATTTTGACCTTAAAATCACCATCCTTTTTAGATTGGAGTGTTTTATTTTCACAGACTCAAAGTTGGAATTACATATCCCTTCAAGTTCTAGTGTAACAGAACATCAACAGTACCGACAGTACTGCATATCTACACAACTATAACATACCTACCTCGTTAAATCAAAGTAACATGTACCGATCTTTCTATTGATTTTCAAAGCAAATGAACAAATGGTGCGTTAATTAATGACATGGTAGTTGAGATTGTTCTGTTGAATAAGAATATGAGAGTTTCTCATGGTCCTTTAATTAATCAGCTCATAAAGTCAAAGAAATTGACGAATTCTATTATATTTGACAGAAACCAAGCCACACAGTCTACAGAAGTGGCAGTTTGTGTGATTATTTATATTCAACTGAGCCCATCAAGCAAAAGTCTCTGTTCCCATTATCCCTAGACCGAATGATATTGGCATCACCTATAAAATTAGTCAAGATTTGTAGAAAGACCAATGGGTGATAGAATAATAATGTTTTCTTTTGAAGGGAAAAAATGATAGCAACCATGTGAGATGTGATTAGGGTCTTAAAAAGAGAGATTATATTATTCAAGCAGCAGGAGGTTGTTCAACTGCATTTCTTTATATTGAGTCCAAATAGCAGCTGGTCAAACTTGGAAGTTGCAGGCATAATTGCAGACATTCCTTCGCATCGAAATGGGCAAAACACCCGAAAAGACCATATGGGTTCTGGCAAGTTGACGCAATAAGATCAAATTTGATTTTCTAATTCGTAAACTAATCCGCTTATTTCACTTCATCGTTCACGCGTACGAATAAGATACTTAAAAAAATATAAATGTGTAACTTAACAAGTTGTATATGTGCCGCTAGATTGGTACATATAGGGGGCCATGGCAATCTATTAAAGACAAAAAGTGCCAAAACTATATAGGGGGCCATGGCTATCTACATTCGTCGGTGAGAAATGCCCAAACTTCATTTCAAATGCCAGCTAGAGACAGAGGCAAAAACACGGTAACGTACGTTTTAAAAATAGCTGGACCTCAAAAATATCAATATGAAACTTGTATACCAAGATTTGTTTATTTAGCATTATTCCCCAAACCGTTCAAAAGTCTTCTGACTAACGCTTGCTGCTGCAGCTACCAGATATGGATGAAGAAGAAGAAGAAGAAACCACAGCTCAGCTTATTATGACACGTCGCTCATGGCTTTTTTATGTTATAGCTGTAAACTTTAATTAGTTAAAAATAATAGAGCATGATTTTCACGCAGTGTGTGTCTAAGATGTGAAACAAGCCCATCTGATATCCGCCGCATTCTAAACCGCATATTTTTGTAGCTTCAAAATCATGAAGATTATATATATGTATTTTAATAAACCGATCAATCCGTGCAAAAATGCTAGAATGTCAAAAGAGAAGCGAAGTTTGAGACTCTGCAAACACAGTCACTGTCCTTGGAATCTTGGAAATCATGTGTCCTGAAGAAAAACTAGCTATATATGTATAGTTTGCTAAGAGTAAAATTAACTTTCATCTCATATATCACAGTATATATACAATTATATACGTCATCATGATATTTAACTCGCACAATATCACATGAGAGAATATGATAATAATCATTATAAAACACTTTCAAAATTGAAAGTGGTGTTTGACATATCTCCGTTTTAGATCGTACAAAATTAGTCCCACATATGAGACATCTCTAATCTAGTATACTACTCAAGAGATGATTTGGGTTATCAACAAATCAGTACATGTATACATAACATGTTAAATGGGTCTAAAAATACAGTATTCTCACATCCGTCTATCATTTCAAACCCTTTTTCAGTTCTCCGCTAAAGTTAAAGGAGCTTAAAAAGGCTATGTTATGCCCCATTACATATATATAATGAAATCTTCGTAACTCATGCTCAGCAGCTTAGTTCAATACCCCACCTGCAGACATATATCCTACTTCTAGATACATGACAACAACCGGGATGAAGGAAACAAAATTATATATATATATATCTCTCAACACAACTTCAAATGCAGAAAAAGTCAGATCGAATTAATGTTATGGGAAAATCCATATGGCGTTTTAGCTTCTTCAGCCACTTATGTACATGCATTGTCATGATGTCACCACCTTAAGAACCGTATACCATGCATGTACTCAATCAAACTTTTGCTAGCTAGAATACAAATGTCAATGAATTACCTGAACCAAATTTCAACTTGGCGTGCTTGTGCTTGGAGTCTCAAAGCTTTTATTCAGGGTTTCACAACTACTCGTCTTCGTTCTTCTTGCATGTGTTTACATCAAGACTTGTACATGGAAATTTAATAGAACAGTAACCTTTTCTACTTAGCTGGCTAAACACGTGATTAGAAAATTCTAAGAGATTTTTCTTTATAAATCAATGGAAATTAGATGAGAGATTAATGGAGAGATGTAGCCCTTTTTTCTTCACTAAACTAGCAATAAATTAATTAAAAGCCTCAGTGGGCAAAACAAGAAAGGAAATGGATCAACATAATGTATAACATCCATTGAACTCCAAACCCATTTTCCAAAGAACCAAGAGTGTTTCTAGCTAATTAAGAATTAACAAACCTCTCAAGCCACCATTCATTGCTTGCTACATGTCTTCTCTTCTAAGCTTGTTTAGCAAAGCGGTGATAAGAGCTCTTCGTTCTTCTTGCATGTGCTTACATCAAGACTTGTACATGGAAATTTAATAGAACAGTAACCTTTTCTACTTAGCTGGCTAAACACGTGACTAGAAAATTCTAAGAGATTTTTCTTTATAAATCAATGGAAATTAGATGAGAGATTAATGGAGAGATGTAGCCCTTTTTTCTTCACTAAACTAGCAATAAATTAATTAAAAGCCTCAGTGGGCAAAACAAGAAAGGAAATGGATCAACATAATGTATAACATCCATTGAACTCCAAACCCATTTTCCAAAGAACCAAGAGTGTTTCTAGCTAATTAAGAATTAACAAACCTCTCAAGCCACCATTCATTGCTTGCTACATGTCTTCTCTTCTAAGCTTGTTTAGCAAAGCGGTGATAAGAGCATCCCTCTTCTCAGCCCTAGCCTCCTCTCTCATCCTCCTTTGCTCTTCTCTCTCTCTCCACCTCCTCTCCATCATTATCCTCTCATTCTCTAGAGCTTCCATGGTCTGCCTCCACTCCATCTCCTTCAACCGCCTCTCGTTCTCCCTCGCTTGAAACTCCTCCCTCCATTGCATCTCCATTTGCATCTGTTGCTTCATGAACTCCTCCAATATCTCCCTCACATTATTTCCGCTTCCACTCCCACTTGTACTGCTGATGCCAATATTGCTCATCTTCACCTTCTTCTTCTTCTTGTTCCTCACCGTGCTTGCCTTATTCTCGGCCTCGCTGTCCTCATTATCTTCCTCCTCATCCGAAGAAAGCGCTTTCTTCTTCGACCCGCTTGCAGCCCCGCTCTCTTCTGCCCACAGCATTCTCTGCATCCTCGCTGCGAAAATCGCTTGCAGCTCATTGTAAAATGGGAATTGCTGCCTCATAGCTTCCGGCTCCATCGTCTCACATCCCTAAATGTACATCAACAGAAAGCGAAACATAAAGACACACACACGTATATATATCAAACAGATAATAATGAAGGCAGCAAAAAACTTTTTGAAGATTTTGGGTTTGATGAATAAGGAAAAGCAAAAGTAAACCCCTGAAAGGCAATCAGTATGTCGTATAAAAGGTGTGTTGATTAGATGGGAGATTAATTCATCAATAATTAAACTTAGGACTTATTTGGGTTTATTACATAACATTTGTGTACCTTGTAACGGGTAACGAGGTTTTTCCACTTGCACTTGCACTGTTCGGCGCTGCGATGGTGGCCCTTTTCCTTCATCTTCGTGGCAATCACTTCCCACAAAAGCTTGTTTCTCTTCGTCTCCATGAAAGTCTGGTCGAGCTCGGCTCTGATCACCAGCAACTCTTTCGTCTCTTGAATGCTCCATTGAGGAAACCTATCGCTCGAGTCCACGTTGACGCTGATAGTACTAGGAAGCGGCTGCTGAAGCTGCTGCTGCTGAAGCTGTTGTTGTTGTTGTTGTTGTTGTTGTTGTTGAAGATGAAGCTGATGAGTTTGATGCTGAAGTGGTTGATGATGTTGCTGTTGTTGTTGGTGATGATGACGATGATGTCCCTCCATGACCAAAACCTCAATCTTAAAAAGGGGTGTTTTCGTGAAGATTAAGTTTGGGTTTCGAAAAGATTTAATATGAAAGAAGAAAAGAAAAGAGAGAGAAGAAGGATAAAGCTTAGATTCTATGAAGGGGGTGGTGTGAATGGCAGGTGTGAATCCTTAAGGAAGAAAAAAAGGGACAGATTTTGATGATCTCTTTCTTCCTCCTCTTTCTTTAACTGCTTATGTGTCGATATAAAAAAACCCGCAGTTTAATAATTATTCGTTCAGATTTGATGAGAAGTTTCAGAAAATGAAAAACAAAGAGAGAAAGGAAAGAAGGAAAGAAAGAAAGAAGGGAAAAGAAAAGCTTTTGTCTCCTGTTTAGCTTCTCATCAGTCTCATCTGTCTACGCGGAAACTCATTCCCTTTCTCTCTCTTCTCTCCCTCTGTCTCTTTCTTTTTTATTTTATTTTTTATTTTATTTTGTTTTTGTGTGCATACATGATCCCATTTGTTCCCACTGCGTTTGCGTGTCGTCATGCTTACGAGAAAAGTCTATGAGCTACCTGCTCAGACGTTATTCTCTGCACCCGGTTTTTTAAATCTTCTGCTCCAAGGCTTTTTATTTAATTGTTTCTTTTAAGTTAAAAATACAAAATACAAAATATATGTTTTGTAGGTTTTTTTTTCTTAAATTTTTTTTTTGAAACTTTCTAGTCCTTGCGTTTTGAAGCGTGTGAAAGGGACAACAAAGGCTTCCAGACTCTACGTGGGGGGCAAGGCGGTAAGTCCTCGATTTGCAAGCCTTTTTTTTAGCATGAACTTTTAATCTGTAATTTGTAAATGCTTTATATACATACAAAGATAATGAAAAAAGGAAGGTGTTTGTAGCTTAAGGGCCAATTTGGCATTATTGTGCTGTGAAAATAATCTCTGTCAGATTTGCTATGAGAGAAATCAGCCGTAAGAAAAAGCAATTTGGCGTTTGGTAAACTTTTGGTTAAAAATGTTGTTGGTACTGATTCCCGCATAATCATTAAACTCAGGGCCTCTTTGAAACTGATTCCCGCATAATCAGAAAATGAAAGCACCTTATTAGCTGCTTTCCCTTATAGCCAAAGGCGGACCTACTAAGGCGCAAGAAGGTGCAATTGCACCTCCCCTCGACGGAAAAACCATTGTAGGTGCTTGAAATTGCCCCTTTGTTCAACTGGTGTACATATTACCTTATTTTCATCTTCAACATTTAAGTAAATGTCTTTGTCCTTTTACTTTTATTTATTTTTATATTACTCCATTTACTTAAGTTTACAATGTAAATAAGGAATTACCCCCCATTTGGATTCAAATAAAAATACTAGAAAATCAAATTCCCACTAAATCAAAATATGAAAATTCGGTTTTAGTGCAAAATATGATTTAGGCTAAAAATGATGGCTCATTAAGTCAATATATACTTCATACTAAAATCCCATAAAATCAAGTTTTCTTATTTGATGTGTAAGGAACAAAAGCCGCCAAAAATTATCTTGAGAAAATGATTATTCCGAAAAACTATTTTTCATACTTAGTCAATATTGGACCTCCGCTAAAAAAATTCTGGGTCCGCTAGCTTTCTCTCACAGCAATTTTTAATAATAAGTGATTTTCTCATAGTTTACTAAACGGGCTGGGCTTCCAAAAAATTTTAAAAAATCACTTATCACCCCAAATAAGCAATGCCAAACGGGCACTAAGTGATTTTGCGCTATTACCATTGCACCTGATTTTTTTGTTTGAGTTCTCTTTTCCCCAGTATCTTTCGTATAAAAAAAAAAGTAATAAAGAAAACATGTATTTAAAAAAACATCTCAATATAAAAAATTATACTTAATTTTAAATTGAGTGACTACTTGAGTTATCCCGTAATTTTGTCCCACGTGGTTTATTCCGGGAAGATTTTAACAAGGCCGTTGTTAACATTATGGTTCCCACATCCACTCTGTATTGTTTTATAATTTTTTAATACAATATATTTTTTTGTAAAAATAAAATAAATTGAGTGACTGCTTGAGTTATCTTTTAATACATAACTAGCATCAAACATTTTCTAGTGTGAATATTGAAATTTTACAATTTTTATTTGATTAGTGTCACAAATCCAATGTATGTACTCTCGAATCAAATTATAATTGTTTGAAAGGGGTACGTTTTAAACAATTTTTGAAGATATTTCTGCATTCCCGGGAGCCCTCCCTTTATTTGAATTTGATCATAAATTAGGTAAAAAGATTTCATCTAGAAATTTCAGACTATATATAATAAGAGTACAGCATGAGAAGATGGTTTAAAATTGGGATTTTACTATCTTTTGAAAAAGAAAATTTGCCATCTCTAGATACTCTCTCTCTGTGGGCCGTTATTATTTTAATCACCTACGCGTTATTCCGCAGTGTATCATGTGTGGACGCCTACTATATCTTTCCACGTGCCCTGCATGCAGACATGATAAATGGAAACAACCTTGGACCCACCAGTCTCATGGTTCACACTGGAGGCTGGTGTGACCCATTCAAGTCTATACCCAAATTATTTGACCCGAGAATGTAAGCTCGTGTAAGATTACCAAAATGGATATGGATACTGGGACTGGGGAATTGGAGGGATGGACCGACTTATGTGGATTTTTGAGGAATTCCATCCATACTTTGAATTTGAGAGGTAAAAGTGGTAAAACGTCGTTTGCCCAATAAGACCGCGTTGTATTGTGTATTGCTTTGGTGAGACCAGGATGAAAGAGAGAAAGCCACTTGTTTTCCTTGGATTTGGAATGATAAACGGGGCCACCTCACCGCCATGATCTTTCTTTTTTTCCTATAAATCAAAAGCTTCAACTCCAGATCTCTTCTAATATTGAGAAAGAAAAAAAACTCTTAATTATTTGAGTTACAAGCCGCTTGCGGTTGAGAGAGACTTTCATGCAACAAGAAATAACATTATTGTAAGAGTATACATTTACCGTTTGCATCATGTTTTATATTACTCCTTACCCCAATATTATCTAACTCTTAATTTATATTAGGTTTTAAGCTAGTGTTCTTTTCCGTGTTAAAATATGTTTAAGATGCCTATCACTACCAAAAAAAAAAAAAAAATGGCAACAGTCACCATTATTTGGTGATATTTGCTGGAATGACTAAAGGTTTTAGTCACCCCAACAAATGTCACCAAATGTGCCAATTTATATTCTAGCCCTTTGATATTTCCTTATACTTTGGATACTCTCAAATCTAGATTTTGGTGCTTTTTTATATATAAAAAAAAGTTGTTATTTGACATAAATTGGTGAACACATTTCACCCACTGCAAAATGCGTAGTCAAATTACCCAGAAAAAAATACATAACATATAGTAGGGGGAAAAGGAACGAAAATGACAATATATATATTTGTAGTTTATCTTTTGCCGAACGTCAATATTTGTAGTTGGAAATTGAAATGACTTTGACTAACGCAAAGTGGAGAATAGGTATGAGTTTACTCCTTCAAATTCTTAGGGTTATTATAAAAATTCAACGACTTGGGTTGAAATTATATTCAAATTGATGAACAAGTCAATTGTGTGTGCAAGTACATGTCCTTGAACCCCCATGGTTGATCATCTGAAATGGGGACCTCTCGATCAGAATATTGGATTCGTGTCCTCATCAAAAGCGTTGGTCACGCAGGAAATTAACCTCGGATTGTGCATTTGGATTACTAATTAACAAATTAAAGTCAAATCCAAAGACGATTGCCTTGACCCGTTTGGAGCTTCTATAAAATTTTGGTTGGTATTCATTCACACGAAAACCATGAGATCATAAATTTCTTTAAGCAAACCTAATGGTCGTATTAATGAATACTAGTACATTTTGAATACGCCAGGCTCATGATATCTAACACCAATACAACCTCACGTGTGGAATTACCACTTATACAATTATATGAGAATTTGCGTTATGCATCAATTGGCCTTTGCTTATTGAGTATTGTCATTGATTAGCTCACAAATGTTCGTTTTAGTTTTATATGAGAATTATGTCTTGCATATAATATGAGTGGTTTGGTAATACTATGTGGAGGGGTGATTGTCACATTGAAAAATTACTCGCTAACACGTTAAGTTAGTTCGGATGTGGCGTTGCATCTCCATATACGAGAGAGAGAGAGAGAGAGAGAGATCTCATAAAAATTGACATGATATATATGGGACACATCAGCAATGGATATCTGATAAGAAATTGGGAAAAATATCTGTGTTTGTATCGTTGTGAAAGGGTGAAACCTTAGCTGAGCTGTATTAGATGTCTTGGGAGCAAAGCAAGTTAGTTAGCTTGTATTGTAGTACTTTGGCGATGTTGCATCAATTTGAAACAAGACACAAGAGATGACGAAGCAGCCTACGTATATAAAATTATTCGAGAGAAGTTTACATGAAGTTGTTCTTTTAATATCTGATTGCGATACTTTGATCTTAATCAATTCTACTCTTTGACTTTTGCTTCCTCAATGGCTGGTAGTAGGTCTCACATTTTCGGAAATTACGTGATCAACCTCATAAAAGTCCACCAGGCTTTCAAGTCAAGCCAAGCCAAAGGAGCTGTAAAGACGCAACCCACAACACAACACAACACAGCTTATTATTATTATCAACATAATCATTACTCTTCTGCAACTTCAATATAAGCAGGCATTCGCCCGCAAGAGTGTGTTGGCTTTCACATATATATTCAAATCTTCATCGATCCATCATAAATAGTATATATCTCACTCACACTCTATTTGATTTTCACATTATAAGTCATTGAGTTGTGTTAGAAACAGTTGTTCATGTGCGACAGAGTGGATGCCAGTCTTAAAAGCGTTGTGGAATCCACTTGCATCGACCACATTTCTCGCAAAGTGAAGTTGTAGAAAAAGTCTTCTTTCTCCTTTTATTTTTTGTGCCTTTTTCTCTTTGGAAAATTTCATTATATATATAAACTTGAAGGGTGATGGAGCATGGTGAACTAATCAACTAAACCACATTACACACTTAAACGACATTGAATTGGGTAGAGAGTAGAGATATATTTGTTATCTCATACATAACATAATAAGTACCCTTTTTTTCTTCCTTTATAGACATGTTTTTTTGTGTGTGTAATTGATAGACAACGCAAGAAGTGTGAGAGTTTTGAATACAGGAAAAACTTCACGTGAAGAGAGAGATATGAAAAGTGATGATATACAAATGAGTACACGTAACGTAGGGTTATACACTTTTTCGTATGAATTTTAGGTGCATCTCCACTCCCCAACATTATCTGAACTAATTTCAAATAATGTTGAGATTTTAAATGGACTTTCCTCTCCGTATAAGAACATGTTGTCGACATCATATATATTGTCTATGTTTCATTGGAGAGG